AAAGCCTAGATCAATGATGGTGAACCTTTTAGAGACAAGTGCCCAAACTGCAACCCAAAACCCACTTATTTGTTGCAAAATGGCAACACTGCCAATAAACCTGAATACCATGGTTTTAGTTTAGAAAAAAAAAACTCATACATTAATATCTTTTGTCTTAAAAGAAAAACAAATAGCATGAGTGTCATAGGTTCACCACCACTGGCCTATATGCACCAATGAAATCATAGGGACTGTAACCATGGATAAAAGCTAATACACAACTAAATGTTATCTAAAAGAATCAGAAATTGTTCTGATTTTCTACTACCTCTGCCAGAAAAGAGAAACAGAAGGAAGATTTTCTAACTCATTTCATGAGGCCAACACAACTTTAAGGAAAGCTATATCTCATGAACATAGATGGGAAAATTCTCAGCAAAATATTAGCAAATCAAATTGAACAATATATAAGCATAATTTTCATCATGATCAAGTATGATTTATTCTAGATGTAAAGATAGTTCAACATCTGAAAATGTAATTCATCACATCAACTGCTAAAGAGGAAAAATTATATGATCTTATCAAATGATACAGAAAAATTCTTGACAAAACCCAACACCCATTGATGGTAAAAATGTTCAGCAAACTAAGAATAGAGGAGAATTTTCTCATGTAGACTAAGAAGATCTGCAATAACCCTACAGTCAAGATTATAATTAATGGAGACAAACTGGATACTTTTCTTTTAAAATAATGAACAGTACAGATATGAAATTGAAATAAAATCTATACAGATTGTGAAAGAATAAATAAAATAAAACTTTTTGCAGGTGACATGATTGTTTATGTAGAAAATTCCAAAGAATCAACATTAGAAATTTTGAAATGAATAGCAATGGCAGCAAGGTTATACGTTACATAGTTAACATACGAACCCAATTGTATTCCTCTTTTCCAACAATGAGTAATTGAATTTGAAATTAAAAGCACAAATGCTACATACCAAAAAACTTGAAATTTATAGATAAAAATCTATCAAAATGGTACTATATATTTACTTGTGAAAATTGCAGTTTGATGAACAAGATCAAGGAAGATCAAAACAAGTGGAGGGATATCCCATGTTCATGGACTCAAAAACGTAATTTTGTTAAGATATGAATTTTTCCAAAAAAAAAAAAGATATGAATTTTTCCCAAATTCATGCATGGATTCAATGAAATCCCAAACAAAATCTCAGCAAGCTATTTTGTGGTTATCAACACTGTAATTAAAGGTCTATATTGAAAAAGCAAGGGTCAAAATAAACGTAAGACTGAAGAGGAATAACAAAGTTATACAGAGGATTAATATTACCCAATTTTAGTTCATTTATTTATTTACTTACTTATTTGAGGTACTGGGGATTAAGCCCAGAGCTTCTGTATTGAGCTATGTCCCCAGATAACTTATTTGTTCATTTGTTTGTTTGTTTATAGTCTCACTACTTGCCCAGGTGGGACTTGAATTTGTAATCTTTGTGCCTCAGCCTCCCAAGATGTTGGGATTGCAGATGAGTGCCAACATGCCTACCTCACAATTTTAGATTTACTGTAAAGCATAGTAACAAAATTACTTGATAGTGGTAAAAGGGTAAACATACATTTCAATGTGACAGAATAGAAAATGTAGAAACAGACCCACACAAATATAGTCAATAATCTTCGACAAAGGAGCAAAGGACTTTCAGTGGAGAAAGGATAGTCTTTTAGGCAAACAGTGTTGGAACAATTGGCTATCCATATTTTTGAAAAATGAATTGAGGTCCAAACTTTACATCTTTTACAAAAACAAATACAAAATACATAATAAAACTTATTGTAAAATTCAAAACTAAAATTTCTGCAGGATAACATGGGAGGAAAACCTAAGTAAACTTGGATTACATTTAGAGACATTTGTATAAACTCACTGTTTAGCTTAATATAGACACACACACACACACACACACACACACACACACAGGTTAATACACATACATATTTTCTTTTCCAGTTTAGAGGGCCTAAAAGAAATGATACTTCAATAGTAATGACTACACCCAGACCTAGCTCTTGCTTTCTAATACATTCTCTAATATAATGAATCAGAAATCTTTGAAGAATTTTTGGTTCTATGACTGGGGCAGGAAATTTATAAGATTATCCTGGAGCATCTTGCAGTGCCAGAAATAAAATAAATGCTCAAAACAAATAAACAAGAATAAAACAAAATAGAAAAGAAAACACAAAAATTAAAAATAAAATTAATACTGGTGCAAATATCCCAAAGCACATGGAAACCAACAGAATGAGCTCTCAATGGCCCAAAGTGGAATAATTTAAGCAGCAAACTAAATAAAGTATTGTTGAGTTCTAGTCCTAAGTACAAAATGAATATCCATGAGTTCACTCTGATTTTAAAATATGATTAAATGAATAAACAAAGAGATCGTGGCACAGACCTGTAATCCCAGCACTCAGTGAGGGTAAGGCAAGTCCAGCCTGGGAAATTTAGCAAGACCTTGTCTCAAAATTTAAAAATTTAAAAGGAGATAATGATGGATATAGCTTAAGGTGAAGGTCCTGAGTTCGTTCACCAGTACTGTAAATAATAATAATAATAATACAAATAATAAAAATGAAAATGGAGGAATATTCCAAGTTTATGTTGATACTCTACTGTCAATGTTGGGGAGCTCTGGTCCTCATTTTTATTTGTGAGCTTTGGGTAATGACTTCCTTTCTGATACAGTATAGAAAAGGATAGGGTATTAAGGAGAGGAACATTATCATGGAGAAACCTGACACACACTCCTCAGCCAAGTGGTCAAGGTTATCAACTGTGGTAAGTCACAATTGATTGTGCTGCATATATTTTACAAGACATGATGAAAATGGCACTTTACTCCTCTTCCTAAAAACCAATACCCTAGTCTGACTTTGAAAAAAAAAAATCAGAAAAACTAGTTGAGGGATATCCTGCAAAATTTTAAACTGGTGCCCTTCAAAAATGTCCAGGTCATCAAAAACAACTAAACTTCAAAAGGCCAGTCAAGAAGCTTCAGAAGAAAAGACAACTAAGCACAATGTGACATCTAAGTGAGATAGCATAGGGACATTAGGTAAAAACTAAAGAGTTTTGAACAAACCATGAACTTTAGCTAATAACATGTCAACATTGTTTTGTTAGTTATAACAAAGGTGTCATGCTATTGTTCGATGCTAACGATAGGGGAAACTGGGCATGTAGTGTATGGGAGTTCTCTGTACTATCTTCTCAACTTTTCTAGAACTTCAAAACTATTCTAAAAAGTAGAATCCATTAAAACAACAACTGCCTAAGTCTTTAAACAGAGTTTGTAGACACTCTGGGTACTTCTGATTATTTCTCCCTCTGTCTTCCTGACCCAGTACTACCTAACCTTGCTGTTAGGATTGAGCCTACTTTCTCATGATCTAAGTAATGAGAACCACTGATGAGGGATAACCCAAGGAGTGATGTAGCTCAATAGGAATTTTAAGAACACCTTGTGGTGGGTAGACCACAGGGTGTGTGTGGGTGGACCACAGGGAGAGCAACAGAGACCAGCTTGAAGCCTATTGCAATAGTTCAGGGGAGAAATGATCTCAGCCTGAGGTTAGGAGGTATTGATAAGGGAAGCATGGAATTGATCCTGGTATCATTACTCAGAAGAGAACATTGTAGTGTGTGTTGCTTGGGGTTGGGTGAGTAGCAAGGAATTCTAAATGCCATTCAGACCTGTTAAATTTGAGTGTCTATGGACACTTTAATAGGTGTGTCCCTGATATACCTTCCTGCCTGTGGTAAAATAGCTTTGAGTAAATTGAGAACACCTACCCAAGATGATATGGCTAGATTGCTAGATGGTTTAAAGGCAAACAATTTGAAGAGTTAAAGACAATGCTTATCCCGGGAAGGAGAGCACTCTAAATCTGGATGTGACTGGTGGCAGCTGAAGCTGTGGAAATATCAAGGAGCCAGTGTACAGAAGGAGGGGAATAGCTGCAATCACTCCCAATCTGTACATCTCTATTTCTGCAGCCTGCTCAGCATTTTTTGGTTTCTATAGTCCTTGTTTGCCCAACATTTACTTCCCTTAATAATGTTGTCAATTTCCCAACCCAGACCAGTCCTGGAGTGTCTCCTCTCCTCACTTTGCCCAATTCTGCTTCTGTTGCTTTTCTAAAGTCTTCTTCAGCTAAGTAAGACTGAAAACTCATGGAAACAATTTATAAAGAAACCTCTGAAAGGAGACCATGGGAATGATTTCAAAGGCCTCAAAGCTCCCTGGCATCCTCCCAAGTGCCCCCCACACACAATGTGAGGAGTTGAATTATGATGTGAAGTGTGGGTCTGGCCTCTGCTATGGGCTGGGATTGGGATCTATATGGGATGTATAAGACAGTGTCAGATCGAGATGGATATACCCCTGACCAGAATAACCTTTCCTTTCTTCATGGCTTGCAAGTGTTACTTTCAGGTGCATGTGTGAATTTATTTTTGTTTTTGTTTATATTTGGTCTCTTTTTTAGAAGCCATTGCATATATTGACTGATTTGGGGAGTAAAAATAAAAGTCAAGATGTTTATCCTCCTTGGGGAATTAACCAATAAAGTCAGCTGTAGCTATTACCCTGAGAGACAGAGGAGAACCAAAGAACAGGATCCCAGGATTTCTAGGATTTATTATGTATTATTGTATGTATACAGATTCAGCCATCATACTGGGGTGAAGCCAGAGTTGCTATAGTAACAATAGCCTCAGGCAGAGGCTCTGATCACCTAGGATTGGGGCTGGGCTCCTTTGGGGTGGGTGTTGGGCCATAACCTCCTCTTTCCTGGCACCATCAGAGAGACACACAGAGGGCCTGGGTCAGGCAGCTTCAGAGATGAGGGAGACATCCAGGGGAAAGTTGGGCCAGCAACTCTGTCTTTCCTTGTGTGGGATGGTCTGAGGGATACTAGGTTTGTTACTTAATTTTGGGTGGTCACTGCATCTCTTGCTTCTACTGCTGTTTCCTGGTGGGGAGCAAGACTACCCACTGTCGTTGGCTCAGCCTCTTGGGTCTGCTCAAGGGCTGAGGCAGGCACAGGCTGCTCCAGGTGCTCCAGAAGCTGCTCATTCTTTCTCAGTTTTTCATCTCTCTGTACTAGCTCTTCATCCAGTTGCTGGTCCAAGAGCCCCTTCTCTTGTGCCATCTGCTCCTTCAGCTGCTCTTCCCTTTGTACTTTCTCTTGCTTGGGCTGCTGCTCCAGGTTTTCTGCTTCCTGATTTTCTTCATGCTCTTCCTGATGCTTCTGCTGCTGTCCCAGGTGCAGCTCTGGTTCCTGTGGCTTCTGTTGCTGCTGCTGTCCCAGGTGTAGATCCTGCTTTGGGGGCTCGTGGGGCTTCTCCTGCTGTCTTGGGTGCAGCTCTGGTTCTTGGGGCTTCTCCTGCTGCTCTGGGGGCTGCTCTGGCTCCTGTGGCTTCTGCTGCTTTCCCAGGTGCAGCTCTGGTTCTTGGGGCTTCTCCTGCTGCTCTGGGGGCTGCTCTGGCTCCTGTGGCTCCTGCTGCTTTCCTAGGTGCAGCTCAGGCTCTGGTGGCTTCTGTGGGTGCTGCTGCTGTCTCAGATACAGCTCTTCCTCCTGAGGCTCCTGCTGCTGCTGTCCCAGGTGCAGCTCTGGCTCTTGTTGCTGAGGCTCACACTCCTGCTCAGACAGCCCCTTCACAGGGCTTCCGAGTTTCTCCTCAGGTTTGTGGTGACCCCTCACTGGGAGCTCAGAGGGCCCCTTCTGGCACGGGCCATGCAGTGCAGCTGGCTGCTTCATTTGCTCCTGCTGGGTGCAGGCTGGAGGAGAAATAGTCTTGAAGAACTCCTGATTGACAGCAGCAGGTGCAGACACTAGTGGTGTGTGTTGCTGGGACATCTTAGTAGCTGCTGTGGGTCAGCATTAAAAGCAGGAGGGTCAGAAGCTGAAGGCAAATGAAGTAAATGAACCCCTGGAGTCTGCAGCAATACCTGGTTTCTCAGCAGAAGCAGTGGAGTGAAGAGAGGGCATGAGGAGGGACAGAGAAAGGCCCTCCTGGGAGCCCCCCTGTTCCCAGGCAAGAGCCACCAAAAAGATCTCTCCCATAGCTGTTCTGCAAGGGTGTCCTGGTGCCATTTAATCTGCTCTTGTCTGGTCCTTGTCTATGCCCTAATTCCTGATCTCCACTCACTAAAAGTGATCAGGAAGAAATAAGACCAGAGGCCCTGAGTCCCAGAAAACCAATAGCCTGTGCTGCAGGGGAAGTGAGAGGACATGGCATCAGGTGTGAACAGGAGTCAGCTGACATATTCTGGATCTTAAGTCTCCCACTGAAACGCTTTGTGTTTCTGGGCAAGTCATGCAGCCCTTCCAGGCCTCGGATTTCTTCTCTGTGAAATTAGTAGGTTGGCCTATCAACCCCAGAGCGCCTTCCTCTCCCCACCTTCTGAACTTCAGCTGCAGCTCCAGAGCTTGGGTAGAAAGCAAGGGGAGCTGCCGGGCTGCCGGGAGCTGGAACTTGAAATAAGACTTGTACTTCTAAGCTGGGTGCTCTTGCCCCTGTTCTGCTTCAGCTTCCCCACTTAAAAATCCTCCCTGTTACATACTCCCCACTTCACATAGCACAACCAAACTTTACAAGCATCTTTCCGAACCCACTTATACCATAAAAAAACGAAATCATGGTCAGTCCAAGTCAGAGAGTGAAGAGGCAGCTTGATTTCTCCTCCCTCCCGCTCTGCCTGACGTCTCTCGGGCGCACAGGAATCCCAAAATATGGCCCCAAGAAAAGAGATACCTGAGAAGACTTTGGTATTCCTGGTTTTCCACGTATCCCCAGAAGGAAAGATAATCCAGCTGAATCCAGCCCAAGAACAATACCCACCCGCCCAGCCTGGCCACCCCCGGGCACATTCCGGCCTGTAGGAAGTGTCCTGTCCCAACCCCAGTCCCTTCAGCTGAAACGTACCAAGCTCACGGTAGAGACAGAGGCAGAGGGTTCCAGTGGAGTGCGAGCTCGCACCTTTATACTGCTTCCCGCCTAGCATCCTGCTCAGGTCGGAGGCGAAGAACTGGTTCTGACACTACAGCTGGTCAGGCCCCTCTGACTCATTGTGGTGGATGGGAGCAGGGAGGCCCTCAGGGGCTCTTTTTCCCAGCTCCTGTCAGCCAGAGGATTCTGAGAGCTCAGCTGCTCTTGTGATTCCCTGTGACCAGGGCACAAAGAGGTGAGAGAGGTGAGGAAGACAGCCCACTGTTTCGTGACTTCAGCCAAACTTCTCTGAATCCCAATGTAGCTACCTGTAAAATGGCTTTATTTTCATTTTTAGACTCAGAACTTCACTTTCAAGGTTAAGAGATAGGAAGTTCAGTATTTCCTGGGATATCTGGGCCATGGTCTGTTGTATGAAGATGGAAAGAATTATCCTTCCCGAAGAGATGGGACACTCCTATGCCAAAAGCCCATTCTCTCGCAGAACATAACTATTCTTTGGGGAAAATAAACTCTACCTTGAGGAAGGTTTGGATTTAGACCATCTAGGAGCAAGCAGAAGGTTTCTGCCTCATCTCCTCCTACATCCCAGGGGTGCCCAGTCCCTCAAGGCTGTGTTTACAGAAGTTCCCCAAAAAGGCATTGCTCATAAAAACTCCAAAGCCTGTTCCACTATATACAAACAGAATTGTGTGGTGATAATATATAAAGGTGAGTATTTCTTTATATAATAAAACACTTTCCATAATGATTTTTGGACGAGTATATAAGTGTAATGATCAGAACCAAATTATCTATTGCCTTCCCCAAACTATTCTTTAAAAATAGCTTAAGAAATCTTTCCAAGTGGTGACCATGTCCGCCCATGATGCTGACAGAACAAAGTCCACATTCACAGGCAGGTTCTGAAAGGCCCCAGGATACCTGACTCCTCTTTTTGCTGGGCCCCGTGCATGCCATTCTCTTCTTGGTAGGTGTCTCCTACTTCAATGAGTCTTCAGTTCTGAGGACAAATCCACAGTTCTACCACAGGGCCAGGCACCTGCTTGCCTCCTGCCAGTAGGGTCCTCCCCAAGGACCTGGCTCCGACAGGCCTTTGAATGTTAGGGTCTGCCTGAGCCCCTTCTCAGATTGTCCTAGTTAAAGGGTTCTCTTCTGATTTGCTTCACTAATAGAACTCTGGAGTTATTTTATGTGTTGTTCTCTTGTTTATTATCTGTCTCGCCCCCTGGGAAATGAGCGATGTAAAGACAGGGCTATACCTGGTATGTTTTCTACTATGTTCCTAAAACCTATCAAAACCCACTGAATACAGAGGTGCTCTATCTGTATTAGTTGAAGGAATGAATGGCCAGTACATCTCATTGCCTGAAGATGACGGCTAAGATTTTAGTGTTAATGTGTATTTGTGTGTGAAAATAAAATTGAATTGTAACTTGTCTGTCTTTTTAATGCTTGGCAGCTTATTTTATGGGTGTCATTTATTTAAGCTCTCTTTCTTACAACTGATCCAAGAGCTATGTTAGAGTGATGTGAAGAGAATACTTATTTCTGGAGCTCATTTTGAGAAGTATCCTAACTCCCTGGTTATCCCCATAGGCACCCCCCCCGTATGCCAAGCTGGTCTGTTTACAGTACTAACTTTGCCATGCTCCTGGGGCTCAGTTCGGGAAGACAGATGGGAGACTCACAAAGGTTTTCTGGTCCCTGGAAAGCTAAGCTCTCTTCGTACCCTCTCTATTCCTTGGTCCCCACCCAGGGCTCTCACGTTGTCTCCCCTCAGAGGGCCCAGGCTGTGCCATTTGCTGGGGCAGACAAAGTCCCCTCTATCCCTCCATGAGACCTGACTGAGCGTTTTCATATGGACATGGATTGCCTTGTGCTCTGCAGCTGACCTCACAGGGGAAGAAGCTGCCTCCCCCTCTCCCCAGCCTGTGATCATTAGGGCCAGAGCAGCAACCCTTGCTCAAGAAGTCACATGGGTCTTGTGGCTTTCCAGAGGCTCAGTATCTGCCTGATCTTCCTCCGCCCTCTGACTCATACCATAATGAGAGCTTTGAGAAGATGGTGTGAGAGCATTTGACCAACAAGCAAGGCCAGGTGTGTGTGTGTGCGCATGTGTGTGTGAAGCTCCAGCCTTTTAGGGCTTACAGGGCCCATGCTGTGCCCTTGGGTTGCCTTATTTAGGGAAATCCTGGGAATGCATGCATGGGGGCAGATTCTTTCAGTGCTTCATGGATGACATTATGGGCCACACTATTTGGGTCCAAGTAACTGCCGAGCTCCCACCCAGCATAACGAGAGTGAGCGCACATCTACGACACATGGAGAAGCCTTACCTAACTCTACCCCATCCCCAGGGGGCCCTGGCTATGTCTCTTCCAGAGGCAGAAAATGCCCCCCGCCTCTCTTTCTCTCTCCTCCCTTCCTCTCCCTCTCCCCTCCCCTTCCCGTCCCCCCCTCCCTTTCCATCTCCCTCTCTCTCCTGAAGCAACCTATTTGCACTGACCATTACTCATGGGAGGCAGAAGGGATTGATCAAGACAATTCACTGCCCTGGGGGGAGAGATGTTAAGAAGAGCTCTTAGCAAGTTGCCACAATGGGGTGACTGGCAGATGGTATAGAAGGTGATGTGGGCCAGGAAACCTCATGTTTCCATCTTGGGTCGCCATGCCTGGTCTCTTCAGTGATGTGGCAGTGTCCTGACACTTGGAGGCTCTTAACTTCCTCTCCTTCCCCGTGGGCTGCCTCCTCTCCCCAAGACATCATCTGCAATGTCATCCCTCAATCTGCAGCCAGCACTTTTGCCTCCCAACATGCCTCAAATCCTCCTTGTCCTCCTCCATTGCCACCTGAGCCCAAAGTGAGCTCCTCGTGTACCTGCTCAGGACATCTGCTGCTCAGGACAGAATAAGGCAAGGAGCCAAGAATGAGCCCAAAGAAGTAATTATTCCTCTCTGGGCTGCTGCGTGGACCTGTATGATCTGGTCTGCTTGCTTCTCTTACATCTTCCTCTGCATTCTCCTCCTTGGCCTATTGGACTACTGGTTCTCACTTCCCATCTCCAGGGCTGGCCCTTTCTCTTGGATCCAGAAGCTATGAGAGGAGAGTCACAGTTTTATTCTTGACAGCAGCAAGAGGAGCAACAGCAAAAAATGATTTTAAGAGGACAGAAAAGGAAGATAGTACACCATTCTTCAGGTAAAGGGAAAGCCCTCACCTTGGGCTCATTATTGAAGAAATCACATTCTTCGTAATTGATTCTCTGAACAAGAAGACAACAATCTCTGAGATGGAGAGCTTCTTAGAGAATGCATAGGAAATGTTGCATGCTGTGCGATGAACATGACAGATTCTCTGTCTACCTAATTATTAAAAATAATAATTGAGGGCTGGGGGTGTAGCAGCTCAGTGGTACAGTGCTTAGCTAGTATTCACAAAGTCCTGGGTTTGATCTCCAGCACCACAAAAACAATTGATGACAACTTTAATATGTAAATTAATAAAAACAAGAAGCAGATTGGAGTTTGCCAGAATCAGTGGAAAGGAGACCAACTGCTTCACTTTGGGGAGGTGAAAATGTTATGAAGTTAGATAGGGCTGGTGGTTGTATAATATGTGAATGTACTAAATGTTACTGAATTATTCATTTTAAAATGGTTTTTATTTTAAGTGAATTTTCAATTAAAAAAAAAAGAAGTAACATCCTTGCCAAAAAGCAAATCATGATTTAAAGTTGTTAATATAGTTGGTGCATTCATTCAACCAACATTTATTTATTGACCACCTACTATGTGCAAGGCACTCGAGAGAGATAAAGTGATGAATATAAAACACAGTCCCTGGCTTTAAATAGTCCAGAGCCCAGTCCCACCTGCTGGGTTTTGTCCCCTCTTCTACAAGTAG